GGAGATTTTTCTTCTTCTAAAAAAGGTGAAGTACTTGAAGAAAACCCAAAGGTCCACAGGCACTGAACTTGCAGTGTTTGCAATGCGAATTCTCTTTCGATCAGCTTATTGTTAAGTGCTTCGTAGATACTTGACCTGAGTTAAGACCATGGAATATCATTTCCTGGATGTGGTACAATCGGATGTGCTCATCTTGGCCTGGACATGGTACATATGGATGAGGTCATCAAGCCTGGCGCTACTTGCTACTGAATTCTGGCTCCAACAAATAGTTTGTTCGTTTTGTTTTAGGTTTCTCTCAAGGGCATACACACGTCATACACATTTGTTGACAAACTTCGTGGCACCCACAACTGCCTCGAGGTTTTTGAGACTGATAGACGTTGTTGCCCTGCCGCATGTTCCTGTTTAAATATCACGTATTTGACCGAGGGCCATGCAAGTAGGCAGACTGCCCAATTTCGCTGCTTTGAGGTGTGCTCCCAATTTTCGGCGCACTCCGAAGACGAAATTTATTCCTCTTAACAAAACTTGGCACGTGCTACGAGCAATTGAGGTAGGATAATGCAAGTGTAAAGGGTGCCATAACTTTTTTTGCGTCTGTTATTTGATCTTGGTGGCTATCTTTTCCACTTATGCGGCGAGGTGCGAGTTTTCCTCTTAATTGTTCAAAGAACCCCTTTTAACGCAAAGTGCCTAGCCCAGCATTACTGAAATGGGAACTCTTACGAAGCATATATATTAGTTTTGTTTGGCAACGTTCGTCTGTTATGCCGTGAGTGCCAGACTCGATTTATCCGTTTAACGAAAAGAGGTTTTACGAGGCAGCGTTTTAGTACAACCAGAACGCAGCGAAAGTGAACGTGCTCGCCTGTGAGCCGTGACGTAATTGTGGAAGTGGGTCAGCGGTGGACTGTGCGGGGTTGGGGATGACTCGCGGATGAGGTGTGCACCCGCGTAGTTTCAGCCGTCGCGCACGTTGGATGGTAAGTTCTTGAGAATGTCTCTCAGTACGCACTATGTAGTGACTGAGGTGATTCGTGCTTATGCGCGTTTAGGAGTTTGCTGGTGACCGCGCTGCTTTGGCCACACCTCTACTCCCTCTTCCGACCCTGGAAGTAGGTCAAACGTCTGGCTGTCGGGGTGGATCGATGCATTGGATTGTGCTCCAAAAAAATGGTGCGGGGCTGTGTTTCCCTTTTCATGGGCGCCTTCTAGCTGTCTGCTGCTGGCATTCAGGAACTGTACATGGAACGCTGTTAAGTGAACTTCAAGGTTAGGCGGAGGATTGGACGTGACCTTGAGAACGGTAGCGTAGAGTGCCTGATTTCTATTCTTATTGCACAGGAAAAGCCTGTTCAATGATGGTAATTTGTGTGCCGTATGTGCATTGAACTGCATAGCATGCCCCTGTGTGATGGATAACCAGATGTATGTGTTAATATACATACACATATCAGCTTGTGCACATGTTAATGACAAGAAGATGTATCACAGAGGTACTGATTTAGAGATATTTTAGCTTTGATGGCCTGGATGTAGTATTGCCAACTGAAAAGACCTGTACACCTTTCTGTTTACATTTGGGTTTTTGAATACATGGTGAGTGGTTGTTTTGCCTTTCAATGGAGCTCAGCTGTATAATGCTGGAAAAACAGTTCCTTGAGTTAACCATATTAATGCTTCATATCAGCACAGTGTTCATCTGCCTATGCACCAAGTGCAGCCAAGTGCAAAATCATCATAATATATATATATATATATATATATATATATATATATATATATATATATTATATATATATATAGCTATATTTGCTGTCCTTCATCCAGCATGGTGTCACCACTTCTCCTTGGCCACACTCTTCCCACCAGAAGACACTGCCTTTAAGACATGCATTTCTTCAGACACTGCTCTTAGACTGTCAGAGTCAGACATGATATAGATAAGCAATTATGCCCATGTATAATTGTGGTAGTTATTCTAGACAAGTTATAAGACCTTCCCCCTGATTATATACTGATAATGTCAGAAAAGACCCCACTCTGTCCTCTGGACATGATTTTCAAATTGCTTTTAGATAATTCAGAATTATCTGTGACTGCCCTGAGCATAACCTCATGCTGTTCAAAAGTTACCATCCCCTGGTTATGCTTTGGCTCAGGTCCATCAGAAATCATCTTTGTGTTTTACATACCATTTAGATAGCCCCTTAGCCACTCCCTGCTGACCTTGTTATTTAACCATCTGAAACAGTCATTTATCTAGTCATCAGTCTCATCCTGGCCCTTTAAGGCAGGGATTAGGTCCATTGACCCTACTGTTTTGAAGTCACCTAATCTGGCTCTTCAGTTTGCTATCACTTTTTTGGCTGCTTAAATTATGTGGGCCTTCCCTGACCCTGCTCTTTGATCTGTGCTCTTCTAGTCATTACTGTCAAGGCACCACTAAGCACCATCCTTCTTAGAAGGATCCCTTATATGCACTTAACTTTGACCCACTCAGTCATCTCAGGCACTGGTGTGTGGTCTGTCTGACCCTGCCCAGACCCTGGTATATGGCCTGCTGGACCATTTCCCAGACCCTGGTATGTGGTCTGCCTGCCCCTGCCCAGACCCTGGTGTGTGGTCTGGTCCCCTGACCCGGCATGTGGTTTAATGACATTATCCCCTGGTCACAGGTGCCCACCATGCTGGACACAAACCGGGAGCACCTGGTGTGGCCAGGCGTGCCAGTGGGTGGCCGTGCAATGCAGCCACTCTTTGTCAAGAACGGCTCTGAGATGGACACCATGGAACTGACACTGTCCATACAGGACTGCCCTCACTTCAAGGTACTGCTGGAAACACTATTTTACCCAAAAGTTGTATTTCTTACAGGGCTTTTTTATTATTCACTCTCAGAAGTGAGCAGATCGGAGTGCAGGGGATGAAAGAAAATGATCCATGCTGTCATATCCCCTGACTCAGTGACATTTGCATGCATACTATGGTCTGTCTTGTGCTTCAAATGGGTGGTCCAGATTGAGGTTGACTAAGCCAAGTCACCACTTTTGAACAAGCCCTCCATTACGGTGGCTACCATGCTGAGCGTGCTCAGATTTTAAACCTTTGATCCCAGTATTGCTCCTCCTCACTGTCGCCTGCACATGGAGCTCTGTCCAGCGCCTCCAGAGGGCAGGAGTTAATGCTCTGATCCCCGACATAAGTTCTGGGCCGCCGATCGGCGGTCCTGGGCGGCGCCAAAGTAACGTCTCCAAGAGTCATATCAGCATCCTTTTAAAGATATGGAAACAGTTGAAGCATTGGCAAGTTTGCGCTGTTTTGGCCACAACACTTTGAACTAGTATGCAGCCATGATAGCATTACCTCCGCTGCACACTGCGTCCCATATAGCCCCTGTTGATGTTCATACTTTCCTGAATGATCGCAGAGTATGGAGAAAAGTTTTTGCGAAATGAGAGATGTCATGTGAATCAGGAGCGCTGCTGCATATGTCTGCGTGTCGTATTAAACAGTTGTGTTTTCGGTAGCCCCAGCACCATGGAAGCCAATAGTAGCCCGCTGAAGTGTGTGTGGGGGGGGGGGGTCGGGGCGGGGGGGGTCAGCGCACTTTGCCGCCACCTGCGGCGCTCAGCCACGGCACAGCTGCCGCGTCGGGGGCCCGCGCCGGCCGGCTTGGGTCATCGGGTCAGGGTCGGCGGGCCTCACGTGTCCGCGGTGCGGCCGGCGGACTGCGGTCTGACCACAGTCGGCAGCGGCGCCGGCGCCAAGGCCACGGCCACAACCGCTGCTGCACAGGCTGCAGATGATTAGCCCTTTGCACGAACCCGACGGCGTCGGGTGTGAGCTGGGTTTAGCGGGTCCGTGTTTTGCGAGCGGCTGTGTTCAGGCGATGCTGACGGGGGTGAACGACGTTTGGACGCAGGAGAGAAAGTCATGTGCTTGCTCCCTTCGGAACAGCTGGACGTGGCGGCAAGCCCTGCTCAAATGTTTCCCATTTTGATGACAGCAAAGCCCTATGGTCAGGCGAGAGATAGTACCACTTGTTATCTGACGTTTTTTAATGTTCTGGTGATCTTCGTTTCTCTGCGGGATAATGGGATGTTTTCCCGACCACACTAACTGGTTATAAGACCGGTTGGAATTTAGCGTGTGCTATAAAAGTAGCAGCTTTGGCTGCGGCAGATCGGGCGTAAGTAAGCTGCGGCTTGTCCCGCGCCGGCACACCTCAAGCGCCGCCCCCGTGTGGTATGTCGAAGAGCTGATCCGCCCGGTAAGCCTTGACCAACCGCAGCCGAGCCGTCAGGGGCTCACAAGGCCCCTTCAAAATGCAAAGGCACCTGGTGTTCGAATGAGTGGCCCCGCCGGAACCGGACCCTACCAAATTCGTTGACTGGTCTGACTGGCGGCGTCATGGGAGTTATTGGTGTATACAAGTGATGTGTTTCTGACGCCGGTGATGACATTGGTGTTATGGATTCTACTTCCTGTGACGTGATTAGCTGACTAAAAGTCCGGCGAAGCGTCACTGTTGTTATGTTCTTTGGCACTGTGGACCTGTTAATTACGCCTCCAGCTAACCCGTTACATCCCCTCCCCTTCTTGGCACCTGACCACGTGCGCCGCAGCGAGATCGTGCTGATTGCATGACATTGTGGAGCCCTCTCAGCGACCGGCCGCACGCGGCGCGTACGCCTTTTGTGTAACCGGCCGAGTGAATCAGGTGACATGGGGGCTCGAGAGTCCCGACTTCACCTCCTTCCGTGGGAATCCTGCACCGTCTCCGGTCCTCGCCGGGCGTGGCCCCGCCAGCGGCCCCGACAACGGCCCCAGCAGTCACGACTGCCAGTGATGACGTCAGCCGTCGGCGGCACGTGTGACGCGCGCTGGCGCTGTCGCGGCGCCGCGGCGCCGCGCCGCCGCGCCGCTGACCGGGTGTCGCGTCCGCCGGCAGTTCGAGGCCTTCCCGCGACACGAGCGGCTCGCTCCAGATCGCCATGCCGCCGCGCACCGAACGCAACGTCAACGTGGTGTTCACGCCGTCGTCGCCGGCGCCTTACCGCGGCACGGTGGTTGATCCGGCCCAGCGGCGGCCAGCACGAGCGGCGCGACGCGGCCGTGGTGGGGTCACGCGGCGGCGGCGCGCGCGCGCGCCCGCTGGCGCCGCAACCGCACGCACCGGCGCAATCCTCATGTGCTAGCGACGTCGAAGGGCCGAAGTACTGGTTTCATCGAGAGCTGTACTGCTCCTTGTGCGCAGGTTTCAGTTGTTGCCTTTTGGACGCGCTGGCAGTAGGACTGCGATTCGCTGGGCGGGCCCAAGGCTGTTGAGACCGGTCTCGGTGGAGCCTCAGAGATGCGGAGGGGAGGGGGCAGGAAGGGGGAGGGTATGGTGGTTTGACGTGTCGTTCCCGTGCAGCGCCATGGTATAAATCTTCAGTTATTTGAACGGATTGAGATGCGGCGACTGCCTCTTCCCGCCGTCCCCTCCCCACCCCCCCTCCGCCTCTCCCGTCCCTGGCCGGCAGGTGTCCCTGACCATGGCGCGGTGTGCGGGGATTGCTGGACCGTGGGGCGCAGTCTGTGGTCGACCGTTTCCACAGCTGTCGGTCTTCCTGCTCTGGGGGCCCTCCGCCGCGTGTGACGCTAGAGCTGCGGTTTGCTGGTGGCGCGACGTAACCGCGCGGCGTGATGTTCAGCTGTGGTCAGGCCGAGCAGGTAGGGCGCTGTGACCTGACCTGATCTGGCCTGGTGTGCGGTCTTACTCGTGCTGTGTTTACCCGCCCGTGCCGTCCGGGTGACGTGGTGACCCACCGTCACGTGACCGGGCGCCCGTGCTCTCGCCAGATCCCGCTGAGCGGGTACGGCGGCGCGTCCGACGTGCAGATCCACGTGAACGCGCGCGACCCGTCCGGCCGGCCTTGCCTCAGCCTGAACGCCGCCGGGCCGGGCGGCACGCGACTGGCCGGCTTCTCGATCGCCAACATCGGCCAGCGCGCCGCCTACATCAAGCTGGTGGTGTTCTCAGGTGAGTGGACGGCAGCGAACGGCTGTGTCGGCAGGCTGTCCGCTGGCCGGCCCGCCGCTGCTGGCCGGAACAGCAGCAGACGGCTGGGTCGGCAGGGAGGCTGCTCGCCGGCCCGCCGCTGCTGGCCGGAACGGCAGCAGACGGCTGTGTCGGCAGGGAGGCTGCCCGCCGGCCCGCCGTCGCCGGCCGGTCGGAGATGTGTAGCTGTGGTGCGGGCCGTCCCACGGTCTTTCCCACCTCCGGAACCGTCGCGGTGTCACAGCCGTTTTCACGGGCCGTTGATTTCGAGGGCGTCAGGGGCAGCAGGCTGTGAACAGGGCCGAGTGACCAGACTGAGAATGTTTGCTTCCTGCTTTGCATTGACATTGGCATTAGCTTCATGCATTGGCTGGGCGGTAGCTCGGCGACCTTTCCGGGCCATTTTAGAGCTGCACGACTACGCAGGGAGACAAGAGGTGCGCTAATACCGCTGCCAGCCCGCCCCATGCAAATGCCCGCAGAACTGGCTCACCCAGATGGGGGCGTCACACCAGCGTAGGCGTAACCCCTCGGCGCTCGGGTGGAACCGGTACGGGGACGGCTTGGGCCGCACTCTGTCAGCAACGGGCTTCTGAATTAAGTTCTGATTCGGCGACATTGATATTCAAATATGCAAAATGGTACCCGGCAGAAGTGAAAGGGTGGGCGATCCTCTGGCTCTGCAGTATCACTTTGTTCTAAAATGAAGTCCAGTAGCGCTCCAGTCCCGACGTTCGACCCTTCGGGGTCCCCGCGCGAGGCTGAGCACGTGTCAAAACGTCGCAGCAGGGGTGAGCCTGGTGCGCGCCGCCCCGCAGCGCCACCTGCCCACTGCCTGGCACAGTTTGTCGCCACGAGTCCAGGATGTGAACGAACAGAGCCAGATAACGCGTTCAGATCAGGGGATAGTCGCGCCGGTGGGGTCGCCGCACGTGGTTACCCGGGGCACCTGGCGGCCGGGTCTTGGTGTGAGTTGTTGGCTTAAACCTCCCACGAACAAAACAAAGTTGTAAGATCGTGGTGGCTCCAGCCGTTCCTCTTCCCAACGTCTGGTTGGGCCGGCAAATACCTTCGTGTGTGTGTAGCAACTAATGAGTAAATGGATGCGCAATAGCGCAACAAACCCAATGTGTCGTGTGTCCACCCCGTGTGGGTCGCTTACCGGTCCGTCGTAATTGCCGACAACGCCTCATCCGTCGGGGAGCGGGGTGTCAGCCGGCGCTGGCAGCCACGAGGTGGCCTCACAGCCCCCTGGCGGGAGTCCATCCGAACTCCGAGCACCGGCGCCGAAACTGGCTCCCTGTGCGGCGTGAGTCTCGCCAGCGGAGACCTCCCAGGGCGGCCCTGCAGTATCGCGCCGGCCCTCGCCGATCTGTGGGATCGCATCAACATCACTCGGAGATAGTCATTGTTGGCCGAAAGAGCTCGGACCAGAGCCAAACCGTTGCATCGCAAGCTTTATGCGAACGTGAATCCACGGAAAATGGAGCAGACCTTGCGTTCTGGTTGGTTTACTTTTTGCCGAGCCCGCATCAATGACGGATGACAGCACGGCCAGGGGGCGTCCGTCTGGTGACGCCAGGCTGCTCCGGCTGATGTGTGCCGCCCCCGCTGCTGACGCGAAACACCTCATCAGTACGCTCTGACGGCCCTGTTATCGAGGGGCAGCGAGACCAGCATCGATCCGATAACGCTGGCCGAAGGCGAGTTTTTCCGCGCTGAACTGTTTGGTCGGATCTCGCAGCCCCCCCCCCCCCCCCCGCCCCGGACGCGTTTAACCGCAGCTTCGGGATATATGGATTTGTCACCATGACGTGCGCGCGATGCATGCGTGGGCTGCTGGAGCTGCTCTCCGGGCACGGGCTGTCGGGTCGTTCGTCATTCGATGTGTGTTTTATTCCCGACTCCTGGCGTTCGTTCAAAGCCGTTAAAACTGATCACAAACGGAAAAGTGAGTGCCTCCAAGACACTTGCAGATCAGAAACGAGGCTTGTCCGGTTTCAACATTTGCGCCACAGGGGCGACGCTAAATCTATCCCGAACGACGGGGAAGTGTGAGGATAGCCACTCCTACCCCACGTTTTCACAAACTGGACGGGCTGTCTTCGCTGCCGCGTCTTTACTTGAGTCCTTGCTGCCGCTTCTGTAGGTACCAACAACCGCATCGGCGCAGCGGCCCTTTTATGTTATTTATCGCTGTTTGTCTGCCGCTGCCCAGAAAGATGCCGCATAAGTGCCCACGTTATATGTGCACATCCTGGATCGTGTCGTGCTGCGTCTGTTCACGAGCCATGCCGCCCCCCCCCCCCCCTCTCAGCAGACCCCACGCGCCGGTCACGTTGCTTGCGGCGGCGTGACGACGAACGACTGCGGGGAATTACTGCAGAAGGCCGCGACCGCTGTACTGCACGGTGATACTTTAATTATTTAGGCTAAAAACAACACTTCGTTAGCAGAACTCAATGGCGGCACCGGTTAAACAGTCCTTTCAGCCTCGAAGGGATCAATGCGAAGCCCTCCACTTTCTGCAGCCGATGTGATGGTGGGTGATGGCGGTAGTGGCAGCGGCTGTGGTATTTCTGGTTCGTTGTGGCGTCCTCGTGCTCTGCTAGTCATGCCCAGGCCGCTCGGGCTAGCCGGCTGACGCACCTCGGCAGACAATTAGGGAGGCTCGGTCACACGTTGTCGTCACATGATTTGACGTCACGGACGGGTAGGTACCCCCCCCCCCCCCCCCTGAGTAATACTACAAACCAACATTCACAAATTGATGAGTAGCTGGATGCGAATTTTGAACACGGCACAACTTTGTGCATATCGTGCTGCTTATGATGCGTACAGCGGACGGTGGTTCGCTGCGACAAAATCGGCTGGCGGCGGCCGTTGCTCCCGCGTCGCTGTTGCGGCCGTATTGCAGGAGAGCTGCAGACGCTGTATGCTTTGTGCGATGACCTCTCTCCGCTCGGCCCCTGACACGCGCCGGCGCGACCGCCGGCCGTTGGCCGGGCTGTTGATAACGTATCGGCATCTGACGCTGTGATCCCACAGGCGTCTGACGCACCGATCCCACAGGCATCTGACGCACTGGCGGATACACGCTTGACACTGGCAGTTTACGAGCCGTCTTTCACTCATTGCCGTAGCGCATCAGTGCGGTAGGCAGTCTGCCCCTGGCCTCGCGACGCCCTGTTCCGTTGTTTCTGTCTGCGAGTTAGGCGGCTCGTCGCTGATTGGGCGCCTGCGCACGGGGGCAGTGTAGCGACGAACCAACCGTCGATGTTCTTCAGATATTTTCGCATGGTTTGACGAGACGTGTCCAAGCTATCAAAATGTGCGCGTTTTCATCTGGTGGCACCGAGTTCTTCTTTCAAGCCTTGGAAGGCAGGAAGGGATCGTGCTGATAGTTACGCCGTGTGAGCGGACGTTTGAGCTTGCGTTCAGTAGATCATCTGCGATTCTGTTTGACGTGTCACGCTCCTCGTGACAAACATCTTTGAATTGAGACGCATTCGACGTTGGGCGTTTGTTTACGAAACAGTTGCAAGCTCGAATGTCCAGTGCGAAGGATTTATACTTTTAAGTGACTTGGCATTACATTCAAAAGAAATCAGCAAATGTTGTCATACAAAATGAAAAATATATAAATATATATCATAAAATATCATGAGATCATATATCATAATACAAAATATCATGTATATATCATACAAAATAATATCATATATCATATAAAATATAATATATCATGTCATATAAAAATAAAAATATCAAAAATATCATTCAAAAAATGTTATCATACAAATAATTTTCTAGAGGAAATGTGTTTCTTCAATCCACACTTTCATACTCGCGTGAATCACAAAAGGCGTTGGGACGTGCCGATCGCCCGGACTTCGGGTGGTGTGAACTGGAGGACCGAAGTTTTTGCGAACATACTCTATCCCGCCTCAGAAATAGGAGCGCCTTCGCGATCATTTTGTCTAAATTCGTCATCGCGGTTTGTCGGGATCCACTATTGCAGGGCTTTACATTGCTCTCAATTGCTGAGGCTATATGGCGTCACCTGCCTCTTACTGTCCGAGGGGGGAGGGGGCATCGCGGGGAATCGAACCCCGTACCTCTAGTTTCCCAGACACTCAGGTCAGCTATTACGCTACTGGTATCCCCAAGCGAAACCGTTCGTCAAACCTGTACTGAGTTCCGTCAAAGGCTACGTACTTCTCCAGAATAGGTCTTACCAAGCCGTGTGCTCATTTGGGCCGCACGTAGCCGATATTTATAACCACAGTTGGGTTCACGGATGGAATAATTGTTCGAACCATCGTCCTCGTCTGGTCCTTTGAACGAACACAGTGGCTCGGCCAGTTAGCTCCCTTTCCCGGAGCTCAATTACGCCTGCCGACGGTCGGAGAGTGGAGTGGCCGAAACGTTGTGTTCATCGTAACACGCCAGATGAGCAGGGTCCTCCGAACGATCATTTCAGGCGTGAGACATGACAACTCGTCTCAATCCACTTACTAAGCCACGTTTGGGTTCATTGCGTACTTGTGTCCTGCTGCACGCGTCAAACTCGGTCCAAAAAAATCGGCCACCGGCCGTCATGGCGCACAATGGCACACGGCACTCCGTCACATTTCCAGCAGTGTCCGCTCCCTCCGCCAGGGGCCACCCGTCCCGACCACGAGCTGGGAGAGGCGCGCGAGGACGGGCGCGTTTTTGTATCTCACCAGCTGTCAAAAATTGTCATTCAGGGTCTCTGTCAAGCATCCGCGCTCATTGTGATGACTAGTGTGAACTTCATCATTCACTGAAGCAAACTTTCCGTTAACCCTAACGGCATAAATTTCTGTTTTGAAACCGGCCGATGTCCGGTACACCCAGTCCCGTTCGAGGGTGCTTACACCTTTTTGAGACGATTAGAATTCAAGGTCTGGTTATTGCCACATCCGGGCCTCTTACTGTCGCTCCCCTTTGTAGCCTAATGACCAAGTGTCATATTTAGCCTGCCTTGTAATTGTGCCCTTCCGGAAACAGTGAACTCTTGGCGACCGCCTGCCGTCCCTAACGCCTACCCCTGAAGGTGCCGGGGCGCGTCTGGGAGTGCGGGGGAGGGGCAGATCCCCAGGCCCCGGATAACGGTGTACCTGCCCCCAGGATCAGAGACGACAAACAGGTCTGGCCCTTTCCCCCTCCCCGCCGCCCCGCGGGCACGGCTGCCGCCGCGAGCGGGGGACGAGCCCGTGCCGCGCGGAATGCAGGGGCGGCGCCAAGGGTAGGAGAGGGGGGGGGGCGCCAACAGGAGACGCGTGACCACAAGTTACAATTGTTACAAAGTGACACTTCACAAGTTACCTTCGAATTTAGCACATGGCGTTCTTGAAAAATAAACCGAGAGTAATACCCTCCGTAATCCCCTCACCCCCACCCCCACTCGACCCCTGGACTGGTCGGCTGGTGACGCGCCCGTTGGCGGTAGGGGGTGTGCGCGGCTTCTGGGGTCAGGGGGCCAGTGGTGCCAGTGACACCGGGCCGGGGTGAACTTCAGCCAGCCGCCATGTACTATTCCTTCTCTTCGCCTGCGCAGAGGCAGTTCCCCTTCTTGGGCTTCAGGTCACCATGTGAGTAAGCTGATCTTTTGGAGGTCGGTGGCGTCGGGGCTGTGTGTTGAGTGCTACAATCCAGCATCGCTGCTGCGATGAAGGCACGCAGACAACGTGTCGTCGTGACAAGCGGTTCGTTACCGCTCGCGGTTTCGGAACATTTCAGATAAATGTCGGGAGAACGTTTGAGAGATTGTGCAGTGGTCCGTGCATCAAAACGCCGTGAATCTTGGGAGCGCAGTTTTGTGCATTGTCGGTCACTGGAGGAAAGTTGCTAGTATTCATTGGGTGGTATGGGCACACTACGGGGCTAAAAAGGACACGTTTCAGTCGTTATCTGCGATAAGTGTTAAGTCTTGTGGTTGACGAGATATTTGGTATTTCCATGTCGTGGGCATTCCTCCCGTGTTCATTTGCGACGATGTCGCGCCATTTTGAATATTATTACGCACAAGATTTGATGCCTCAAGTTGCGTCATTTTGGTGAAAGCGGAGGATGTGCTTTATCTTCTAATCGCACCGCGGAAATGCGCCGTGTACAGTTGTGAAACCGAGATTGCGCGAATCTTGTGGGCTTTGAAATGATCAGTTAATCAGGAGCCCTTCACTGTCAAGTGTATGTTTGTATGTGCATGTGTATGTATGTTTGCGAGCAAACAAGAAGGCGTCACTTCACTGTGTATGTTTGCAAACAAACAAGAAGGCGTCATTTGTATACCAATTCGTGCGGATGCGAAAAAGCGGTCGGTGCTTTACGTATGCTTGACTTCGTTCGTAAAATGTCACATTAACGCGTGTTGTCAGCTTTTTGTGCCGTATTCGTGGGAACTCAGGCCGTTATTGTTACCAGTAATGCTCCCCTTGGCAGATGGAGTGTGACAGATGACGTGCATGAGATTGGCTTTATCGGGCTGTAGGCTGATAGTTTCCCTAGCTTATGAGCCTTCTGAATATTAGGTTACCTAGCTTGCTTTGTAATTGGTTTCAGACTCCTTAGTTCGGTGTGGTTGTTTTCCACTGGCGCCGGCCGTGTGCCGGGGTTTTGCGCATGGCAGGTCATTGCCGAGCTGTTGTGGATGCTTCTGGATATAAAAGAGCCGTGTCTCTAAGCATGGTAGTAGCCGATTATAAACTATGCCTTATCTTATTCAAAAGCTTAAACACTGTTCATAGAGCCGATTAAAAAAAAAACACACTTATTCGAGCTCGCGACACGCCAGGATGTTAACCGAACTGCGTCTTGGTATTCAGCTTTCACCACTTTCGATGCGATCTTTTTGATATGTTACGCGTTCGAAGGTGGGAGGTTCGACGAAGGCATACGTCAAAATTATTGTCAGCATGCCGGCAGTGCTTGTTTACTTTACGGTTGGTGGCGGAAAACGTAAATTTGAGTTATTTTCCACCCTGCAACATAAGATTTCACTAGGCCACCGATGAATTTATGCCTTATTCGCTTACGAACATCGGGACTGCGTGAAAAGCATTCCAGCAATTGGAGGCAGAAATCCTATAGTCTCTTACCAGGAACGTCGTGAGTTGCTGCATGGTGACACCTGTGGATTAAGCCATTGTAACAGAGGCGGGTCCAGGGGCTGGGGGGGGGGGGGGGGCGATACCACGGACCTGCTCCTGCCGCGCAGTACTGGTAGTCGCCTCGGCTCAATCCGTCGTGGAAAAACTACGCTCGGACACCAAACCCAGAGCGCTCACATATCGCACACCGATGTGTTTCACGCATCGGTCACGTTTTTGCTCAGGCGTATCGATTCTGTTGTCCGGCTCAGGTGCACCGGCGGTGCGTGAGATGGCGGGTGGGGCGAGCGGCGCGCGTGGTCGTCAGACGGCGCGCGCTCGCCGCCCCTACGAACAGGCGGCCCGGTGCGTCGTTGACTCGGCGCTGCGCGTCGCGGCTCCGACTCAGAGTCACGACTGTGAGTCGGAGCCGGAGCGCGCTCCGCCGGGCTTTGCTGAAGCGGCGTCAGCCTCAGCCCTGCCCGCTCGTGATCGGCTCGCCATGCCCCTGCGCCGGGGATGTTTGCGCGTCTGACGGGCGGCGCGCGCCCCCGCGTCCGTTGCAGACATGGCGTGCGAGCGGCCGCTGCCGGCGCACCAGGCCACCGTGCACCCCAGCCAGTTCATCCTGCGGCCGGGCGACACGCGCCAGCTGACGGCCGTCGTGCCGCCCGTGGCGCACGCGCAGGACGTGGGCGCCGTGCTGGTGCTGAGCGGCGACGAGACGCTGCGCCAGGAGCTTCGGCGCCGGCCGCCAGGGGCGGGGCCGTCGCACCACACGCCCGCCAACCTCCGCACCATCAACTTCCAGGTGGGTGCGCCGCTGCACGCAGCGACGGCGCTGGCTCGTCCCCCAGTGGTGACGGGGGCCGGCCGAAGCGTGGCGACTGGCTTGGACGCCGGATTTATGTGGAGTAGATCTGGCCGCCACTCTGCCTTCGACGGATGGGCTGTCACAAGCAGTGCATTGAGTGTGCCTGAAAGTACGGTATATAATGTAACTGCTATCGACGGACGGTGCTTGGCTGTCGGTTTTGACCAACAGAGGGGACTGTAAACCCATTGAACAGGCTTCTGCTACGCAGATCATCGGAGCATGCGTTCCAAACGCCGCTTTTCAAGCACTCGGTGATGAACGTGCTTGTCAGAAACGCTGGAGCGGTGACGTTTTAGTGCGCGGCTGGTTTTTGAGATCGCAATGGATTAGCTGGATTGGGGGAGTCGCTTTGGCCATGTTCCATTAGCTGGGTGACTCGTGCAGTCGAGACCTTCAGGCAGCGAGCCGACCGTGGCCGATCGAGGCCGGCGGTCGGTCGGGCAGACGGCCGGTGCTGGACTGGGCCGGGCGCGGCGGGTGGCCGCCGATCCTGCGCCTCCGCAGGGCTGGTGCAGCCGCCGCTGAGCTCGCGCCGGCCCGCTGACGCGCCGTGCCGCCCCGTTTTCAGGCGTCGTACGACGGCGAGGCGCCCGACGGCCAGGCCGCCGCCGCGCTCGGCGCCTCCGCCGCCCGCATGGAGGAGCTCTTCTTCTCCAGCATGAAGCAGACGAAGCTGCCGCTCAAGTGTGAGTGGCGGTCGTCGACGCGCGCCGGCTCGTGGTCGTCTTCCATCCAGTTCGAGACTGCTGGTCGAGTCGAGACTGCTCGCAATGCTTTCATGGCTGCGTGCCATGCCGAATGGGAAGGGGACGGCGGGGATGTAGCGCGCAACACGATGTAAGCGCGCTGACTGCGGCTTGCCGGCGTCAGATGACTGGTGCTGGTGGCCTGCCCGCAACTCATTGCTGGGCGCTCTGACTATTGTCCACCGCCGCCAAGGTACCAGTTGTGGGTGATTTGTGAGCTGCTGGTGCCGTGTTGGACGAGCTCGCCTCCCGTTTCAGACATGCCGGCTCGGCCGCTCTCCGTGGCGTCGGAGCCCAAGCCGCACGACTTCTCCAGCCCGTACGACCCCAGGTCAGTTTCCCGGAGCGGCGCTGACTGGCTGGGGTGTGCGGTCGTCCCGGCAGGGCCCGTGCCGGTGTGTACCTGCACAGCGCGCCGGGCGAGGTGGCCTGAAGGCGGCTGATATATCTCGACCATCCGCTTAACGGCTGTAAATTATACTGGAGGGATGGTTGTTAGCGACGTGCATGAATAATCCAGTAAGTTAACTTGCTCTGCACGAGACGGGGCTTTTTAGTTAAGCTATGAAAATCCTGTATTTCGGGAGTCTGCAAAGCATTGGATCCGTCGTGTTTCATCAATTACGAGTGCGCCCCAGTCAGCACGATTGCATTCAGCGATATTTTTATGTGACCGAGCTGCGAACCAATACACTAGTCGTCCACTGAGCGCATTATTTAGCGTTGACATGGCGTTTACTGGATGTCCAGCTGGGCGTGACCGGCGATGTCTGAGGTGGACCATTGCCAGGACGCGGGTACGCTTAGTTCTGGAGCGTGGGTCGATGCGGCGGGGCGCTGGTCTGGTTGGCTGGATCTGCGCCGCGGTGGGCCCCGAGCGGCGGTGGCACGGGAGGTGTGCGCTCTCGTGTGGCCGCCTCCTGTTGCTTCCGGCGCCGACATCCTGCCGCGAATAGCGGCGCGTCTCAGTTTCAGGAACTCGTCGGACGTGTACCGGCGCCCGGTCAGCCGGGCAGGCCGGCGGAGTCGCCTCACCTCCAGACGGTAGCGGTCCGGGCGGACATCTCAAGGGGGGGGGGGGTAAGAAACTCAAGGGGGGCAGCTCAAGGGGGGAAGGCGGACATGCCCTCTGGCAGACCGTTGATCGCTGACTGTCGGAGCGGGGAAAGGGAGGGGCGGCTCGTCGACTCTGCCGTCGAGGTGAGATAACGTGTGGCATTGACTATTCGAACGCACGTTGTGGACTCTCTCCGGACCCGCGACTCGGCAACTAGCAGACGCCTTTGGAGGCGTGGTCAGTGAAGGTCGACCCGCCCAGTGACCAGTGTCGTGTGTCAGACCTTCGTGGGCTCGCCCCTCTGCTCACGACTCGCTGGCGTTACGAGCTTCCGAGTTGCTGCCCTATTTAACTCAGGCTGATTAGAGACTGGGCATTAGTATTTACCAGCTAATCATTGATCGCCCCCGGGCCGCTCGGGTATTAACGGGTGTTTTGGTCACCGCCAGCCAACGCACGATATCTTACCGAACGTTGCTAGCGCGCGTGTTCGTCTGGCGCGCCAGAATGTCCGTGGGGTAGCGGTGTGAGTGGTGTCCGTATCCAAGCGTGGCGTACCGAGTGCTGATCGCTGCTCCATGTTTCCACTAGCCGTGGTGCCGGACGTGCGCGGCCGGTGGTGCCGGACGTGCGCGGCCGGTGGTGTCGGACGTGCGCGGCCAGTGGTGCCGGACGTGCGCGGCCGGTGGTGCCGGACGTGCGCGGCCAGTGGTGCCGGACGTGCGCGGCCGGCGGTGCCGGACGTGCGTGGCTGGTGGTGCCGGACGTGCGCGGCCGAAAACCTCGTCGCCAGACGTCCGGATCAGTGTCCAGCTCTGTTCCACGTCTGAAGCGGTGCTCTGTCGTGTTGTGTGCCGGTTGACGATGGTCGCCCTGTTTAGGCTGCGGCGTTGGCAGTGCGCGTCTCGTGCAGAGAGACCCGCGCTGGGGTGTGCGCTGCTGCGCCACGTCCACCGGGGGCCGCATCGGTGTGTGTGACTGTCGTGTCGCGTGACGGGCTGGCGAAGATACTCAGGCTAACAGGCAATCTGCATCAGCTCAATTTTTATCGCAAAAAACTGACATACGAGCAGAAAAGCAGCTTCTGAACCCAGGCAAACTCCGAAGATGTGAATTATTCCTTCTTTCGGATTAGCGACATCTTTTGGATTTACTTTGGCTTTGTGGATTTATTTAGACTTGTGCGACCTGTTGTGTTTAGTTGACATTGAGGCTGAAGTCAAAATTGCGCCGTAAGGAAGGTACTTTTGGCTTAGTATCCACCCCTAGCTCTATAGACTACAATATTGCGAAAATGAAGCCCTAGCGTGCGGTAAGCACCCCCTTAGGATTCATTTTGTGGTCGAAACCTTACAGAATTACGGGAGCGGGAAAGGAGTCGGCGCGCGAGGAAATGTCTCAGAAAAAATAGGATACAAAGTAAATAATTGCAGTAGGCCGCAGCTTTTCGTGAACTAAACCAGGAAAATATTTATCATGTGATTTAGTTTCCTTCGGTGCGCGGCCTCCGTTCAAGTCCTCTGTGTCGCGTGATGTCTAGCAGGCGCACAAGTTGTAGTGTGACCCCGCCCGTAACGCGTGTGGGATCGGCGCGCGGAGTATTTGTCGCCACCTGACTTCCGCTCCGGGTCCATTCGCGGCGTGTGCTCCATTTGGTGACATTCGGCCTGTCTGGTGACATTCGGTCCGTCCAGTGACATTC